TTCCGTGTGTGTATATATATAGATGGATGGATTTTATTTATTTTTTTTCTATCGACAATTTTATCATTAATGATAATATTACACAAACAATGATGATGATGATGATGATGATGATGATGAAAAGTCTATTATGATTATATTGCGATATTTTTTTTTTCTTTGGTGATTGCGGTAGTTTCATTTTTATTATTATTATTGTTGTTGTTGTTGTTGTCCATATAATAATAATAAGTATATATTGGATATTGGATCAAATATCAACAATCAAATCAAATCACCATTGTAAGAATCACACTTTTTTTCATACATTCAATACTTTTGTCTTTTGTGTGCGTGTGTGTCAACAGAATGAAAAAAAGAGAAAAAAATACTCATGAGACCACCTTTAACATTGTGTTGATGTCAATGACAATATATATAAAAATAAAAAAGAATTGTGAATTCTGTTTACGGAAATGAATGAAACAAACAAACAAACAAAGGAAAATCTCTATAGTTATACCTCTTTCTGTGATATATGATGATTTGATTTGATTTCAATGATTTATAAAAAAGAATTGTGAATTCTGTTTACGGAAATGAATGAAACAAACAAACAAACAAAGGAAAATCTCTATAGTTATACCTCTTTCTGTGATATATGATGATTTGATTTGATTTGATTTATTTATGATTAATACTTGTCTTGTTCCATTCGATCATCGATTGATTTGAATCATCAATAAAATGGTCAATGGGGTGAAAAAAAAAATGGAATGAGATTTCTCTGGATCATATATCCATCAATATGATACCATATGATTAGAAAAAATGATTATCATCATCACCATCATCATCATTACAGAGAAAAATCGTTTACATTTTCAAATTCTTACACATTGATTTTGCCTCCGGATTATTTGAATGAAATGAATGAAAAATAAATTGAAAATAGAATATATAAACTATTATTTGGTATCAAGTTGGATCCCCATTTGCCATATGTACAACTTTTCATCGATCCTAAAAAAAGTGAAGCGTGAAAAATAGAATTTAAACGTTCAAACAGAAAAAAAATCCTATTATTTGAATGAAATCAAAAAAAAAAAAAAAAATTTTTCCCAATAACATTCCAATTGTGATAAGATTATTGTGCATATCATAATTTTCGTGTTGATGAATGTAGCTGACAAGAAATCATCATCTTTGCAGCAAAAAAAAAAAAAATTGATTATCATCATTATATGGTAATGACCATCAATTTTTTTTTCTTTCGTTTCACACACTAACTCTCTTTTTCTAATTCTATTCACTTGCCACGGAATTAATTCACAACAAAAAAAAAAAAAAAGAACAGTGGATGAAACATTACTGATTACGAAAAATTTTTTATTTTCCATTTTTTTTCCATCGTTCCATATATACAACTATTGCGATTGTTCTATTTTACGCTTCTATTCTCTGTTCATTCATTCATTCATTCATTTATATAAATCGGTTCCATTGAATCGATCGATTGATGTGTGTATGTGTGGGTGTGATAGTGAACGAAAGATGAAATAAAATGAAATGAATCATGGATTTTTTTTTCTCTTGGATTGTGGAATATAATAATCACAGAAGAAAGAAATAAGTAGCAAACAGAAAAAAACAGAAAAAAAGAAGAAAACTTTTTTTACAATAAACTTATTTCTTATCACACAAACACTTATTCTTAGTTGAAAATAAGATAAAAAAAAATTGGTCAATACAATGATGATAATGAGCTACCAACATCATCATCATCATCATTGTCGTTATCGATCTTGGATCAAAGAGAGAAGTGTTAAAGCAGAAAAAAAACGATTCATTCACTCTATTACTTTCAATTCTTCGTTTTTATCATCAACTAATTCTTGAAGATTGTAAATCATATATATATATATATATATATATGGTAATATGTAAACGAATCAAAAGACTGGAAAAACTTTAGTAGATAAAAAAAAGATGTCTATTTAGATTCAGAAAAAAAACAAGAAAGAGAGAGAGAGAGAGAGTAAAAAAAATTGATTTATCGAAATCGGAAATGATGTTGCTTAAATTGACATTTCTTTTTCCATCTTGCTTTTTTTTTTGCTTTTGTAACACTATGTAATGAGATGTACGATTTGATTGATTTTTTTTCTCCTATTTAGTGTGTGTGTGTGTGTGTGTGTGTGTGTGTATAATTGTTATGGAATGTTTTTCAATGAAAATTATCATCCAATTTTATTTTTTTCTTCTTCCTTGATACTTTAATCATTAATAATGATCAATAAATTTTATGTGATGATGATTTCTAGAGAGAGAGAGAGAGAGAGAGAGAGAGAATTCATTGGAATGTCGAATTTATTTTTAGTTTCGTTTTAATGTGTGTGTACGGGTGTGTCAGATACCAAGAAAAAAAAGTCAATGCTTTTTCAAATTCTGTTCCTGTGTAAGATCAATTGACCACACACACACACACACATACACATACATACATACATTTGGTGATCAACACCATCAGAATTCTAAATAGAATTTTTGAAGAATTCATTTTTTTTGTCGTATTTGTATATATATGTGAAAATTGAACTACGTCTTTGGTGGTGGTGTTGTTTTCCTTTTTTATTGCGGTAATCAACGACAATAACAACAACGAAAATTGAATTTATTATTATAAAGTGATTGTGTATATATCGTGTTCAACATACCAAATGAAAGTATTAACAAAAAAAAAATTCTTTTCTATTATTCCATCGAAAGAATTGTTGATTTTTTTGTGTGAGTGCCCGAATTTTTTTTTGACAAAAATACTTTTGTCATAGCCAAGTTCGTGAATTCATTATACACACATGTCAATGATATTATGATTTTATGATTACAAGTTATTGATGATTGGATAAAATTGAACGTCTGTTTTTGTGTAGCCAAAAAAAAAACAATGAAAATCTTTTTTTTTTAAATTTTGAAGATGATTACACATTCATTTTTATTCTTGTGTTTGTATACAGAATATCGGATTTCATTTGTCGATAGGGGAATGAATATGGGTCGTATGATAATCAAACCATTTACGAAAAATTTTCAATTTACACAATTCTTTTCCATGATTTTTGTTCGATTCATATTTTCCTTTATGTTTTCTTTTAGTGTGTGTGTGTGTGTGTGTGTGTGTGTATGTCGAATGTATTTGCTGCTGTACACACAGCTGTGATGGTTGCTTGAAAAATCATTATAGATTTTAGCCAACAGAGATACCAATGCCAATACGACTTGGAAGATTGAACATTCAAATGCAAAGGCCAGTCTGTAAATTCTATTTATCTAGAGCCATCGGTGAAAATATCTATTTGTTTGGGGGGAGGGGTTCGAGGGAAGTAAAAAAAATGGATTAATACATAACAAATTTTTTTTCTCTATAGAAATCTGATTAGGCTTAAACAAACAAAATATGGAAAAAAAAGATGACATGAATTTTATTTTTTTTTTTTTTTTGCTCAAGAAGTTGTTGCTCATTTTTTTGTTGTTGTTGTTATCTTCATTTCCAAATATAAACTAAGTGAAGTAATTGCAAAAGATTATTCTGAATTGCGTATTAGAAAACAAAAAAAAAAAAAAATTTTACACATTTGATGTATGTATATAAAACTATGGGAGAAAAAAAAATTCAAATAATCTGTTTTCTTACACGTAATATTCTTGACGCATGATCTAAAAAAAAAAAAAAAAAATAGAACTGAATCAAAAAAAATTCTTGGGAATCAAAAAATTGGACAATAAAAAGCTTAGCAAACATAATGGCTTACCATATCTTACATAGGATCTCACACACACACACACACACACACACACACACACACACGGCCCTTACCATTCATTCGTTATTTCACCGATTTCTGTTACAAATGATGAGTTTCAATAAGTTTAAAAAAAAATAAAAATAAAGACGTCTGTCTAATGATGATGATGATGATGATATTAATGGGCAAAAAGAGAAAATGGTCGATTTTATATATTTTTTTCTCTCTATATTCTGACGACGATGATGCTGATGATGATAAAAATTGTCTAAATCTGCCTTTTTTTCCCCACCCCCGCTCGTTCATTGATGATAATGGAACAAAAAAAAACTTTCACTTTTATGTTAGGTGTTTTTTTTCGTAAATTTTTTTTCTGCTTTTCAAACAAATGAAAACACACACACACACGCAGACATCTCAGAGATAATGATGGCAATATTTTTTCTCGTTCGAAACAAAATAAATCCCACACACACATTTATTAGTGGCGAAAAAAAATCTGAATCAATTGCAAACAATTGAATAATGTGGTTAATTAATAGGCTTAAGTAATTCGGGTTTTTTTTCTATTGAAAATTTTTTCGGTATTTTGCTTGTTATCTTTTTTTTTTCACCAACCGCGCAGTCCAACTGAGATAATTCGATGAAAATTGATTTTTTTTTCGTTTTTTCACACTCACACACACACAGACACATTTAAATTGATCGGATTTATTTGTGTGATAATTGATTCAATTTGTATCGAAAATCATTTACCTGGAAATCATTTAGAATGAATCATCAAGAATTTATGTGAATTTATGTGGTTTAGTTTTATTCTATTGAAAAACACTTATATTTGTGTATGGTGAAAATGGAAAAAAAAGAATGACTTATAATTGAATTAGTATTGTATTGAATCCGTTCAAATTACAAATGAAAAACTTGATTCTGTTTTCAAGAACAGAAGTGACTTTTATTTCTGTGATGTAGATCTACATTTGTTTCAACAAGTTTAGACATTTTTTTTATGGTCTCTAGTTAAATGTCATCGTCATATATGACTGGAATTTGAATCGAAAGAAAAATTTTCGTTTTTTTTCAATTTTATTTGTTTACATTTCGTGATTTGAATTTCATTTTTTTTTCTCATAATCAAATTTATTCAATGTTTTTTTTTTTACTTAAACTTGATGATGAAAACTAATCGATTCTTTTTTTTTCTCATTTTATTAGTATTATTGAAAACATTCTATACTGGTTTAATCGATCCAGAAGGTGTTTGGTGGCAATTTGCATATTTTCTTTGCTATGTTAATTCTACATTAAATCCATTACTTTATGCATTGTGTAATACAAATTTTCGCCGTACATATATAAGAATATTAACTTGTAAATTTCGTCGTGGTAATCAACCAAGTTCAATTGGATCAGCTGCAGCCGCTGTACATCATGCACGTCGTCAACAACAACAACAACAACAACAGCAACAACGTAATGAACAATTAATGCATCATCGTGATCTATTACATCAAAATCAACGTTCAATACATCAAAGTATTCATCGTATACATGGACATATACATAGTGGTGGTGGTGGTGGTGGTAGTGTTGCTTCTGCTGCTGGCAGTAGTGTTGTTGTTGGCCATCATCATCGTGATCAACAACAACATCATCAATTGCAATCAAATAATACAACAAATGGAAAAGGAAATGGTAAAAATCATCAACAATTAAAAACAACAACAACAACAACAGCATCTACAACGACAACGGCAACAGCATCAACGTCTACAACATCAACATCAACAAACATAGCGGCCACTACTGTAAATATTCATTCATAATGATAATGAAACGAAATGTTTTCGAATTGATCATATTTTTCTTTGTTCTCTTTTTTTTCTGGTCATCACAAATGAATTTTGATATTTTTATTGTTTGTTGATCGATTGTACACCCACAAGCACACACACACACATATATAACGCCTACTATTGTATAAAAAAAAACAACAACAACAACAACAACGACAATTTATTTATAGAATTTTTATTATTCAAATCATCAATCGATTATTCAATCTATACAATAAACGAAAATTGTTTTCACACATTCTTGATTGGTAACAATGCAAACTTTTTTTTCAATCTAAATAATAGAATTGTTGTCCATATGATCTTAATGCAAAAAAAAAAAATTTTTTTTTTTTTGTTCTTCATTCGATAAATCTGTCGAATTTTTCCAATAAAAAAAAACACACACACAAACAAGAAAAAAGACACAAACGAATAAATCATCCTTATATTATTCTGATTCACTTTTACTCATTCATATTCGTATTTCTTTATTATTATCATTGATATAAACAAATTAATCGATTGATTAATTGGATAATCAACAAAATGATAGCCAGAAACATTCCAGGTTTATTGATTTATTGATTTTAAAGTTTTTTTGTTTTTTTGTTTTTGATTTACTCTTTTCATTTTCATGAGTCAAGATTCGATTATCCATCAATCATCTATAATAATACTTTGAACAATATTGCTATATTCATGATCTGATTATCATGATGATTATGATTAAAATAGGGACCTAATTGTTAACTTATTGTGACAACATGACACACACACACACACACACACATTTGGATGTGAATTTGGTTTCACAATTCTATGTGTACAACTGACAAAACAAATCGAAAAAAACAAACAAACAAAAAAATACTGGACAAAAACTTTTCTCATTGTTTTTTTTTTTTTTTGAAACATTTTTTTCATTTCTTTTTTTGCAATCCTTTTACCATTAAATAATAAATAATTAACAACAGCAACAACAACAACAACAACAAAGACAAACAAATAAGAAAAAAATGACAAATTTTTCTAAAAAAATGGCACAAAATTTTTTCTTCAGAGAAAAAAAAATTTTTTTTACACGCACATCCAATTTGTTGTTACACACACACATTTGAAAAACGAATTTTAAATTCTAAATAAATAAATAAATAAATCCAGACTGTATCGCCATCTATCGATATTTATACCTACTATATATATTTAATGATGTTTATACAACAACAACAACAACAAAAAATTTGATTTTTTTTCCTCTTCTTTCAATACCGTTTTATCATATATGTAGATCTAGTAATTCAGATTGAGCATACATACACACACACACACAAACATACAAAAAAAAGTTATTTCAGCCAGTTGAATTCTGCAATTATTATTTTATAATAGCCGCAAATACACACACTTTTAGGCACAATCTTATTCGCGAATTCATCTTTATTATTCTGGATTGATTGATTGATTGATTGATAAACTTGATTGTTTTCGTAATATCTTTTTATTTAATACATACCGTTTTATCAATGAAGAAAAAAAGAAAATTTGATGAAAATAAATAAATTCGGTTTTTTTTTGCAATTGAATGAATTGATTTTTTTGTTTTGTTTTTTGTTTTGTTTTCAATTTTCCACTTGTAAAAGTTGAAAATTCTATCTGCCATCTAGTGATATGGATTTCAAATAGTATGGAAAAAAAATTCATAAATTCCATCAACAACTCATATTGCTCATGTTTATTCAATCGAGTGTGTGTCGAATATTATTATTATTTTATACTTGAAGGAATTTTTTTGGGTAAATTTTATTTTCATTCAAATCATCATAATCATTCTATGATTCTAATTATCAAAGTGAAATAATAAGAAAGTAGAAAGTAAAGTAAATAAATAATGGCCCATTGGTCCGATTATTCATTACGTGGTTGGCTTAGTTTTCTTGCTTTCATGCATATTGGTCTATGTTTACGATCATTTTTTGATCCAAATTTTTTATTTGGAAAAATTTTTCATACAACAATACATAAAGGTATGTGATAAGAATATTATGTTTTTTATTTTCAAAAAAAAAAAAAAAAACAAATCAAATTCATAGAAATGGTATTCGTACATTATTTTGGCTGCTATTCAATCATTCAGGCATTTATATTGATACAATCGGCCATACATCTTTATGTTTTACCGTAAATATTAACGATTCACAATTCTATTTAACGGAATTGAATCGGAATTTTCTTTTTTCAAAAAAAAAAAATTTAATCTTTGATGTACTTAGATTACAAACGATAACAATATTTTTACTTATCGTTTTCATCACATTGATTATGGTCGAATCATTCTATTATTGTACATTAGATTTATATGGTGCAACATTATTGCCTTTTATGATGAGCGGTATGTTTTGGCGGTTGTTTTTTTTTGTATGATCTAATTTTTTTTTTTTTCTCATTGACATTAATTTATGATCTATTCATTCTTAATCATAAACCCTTCCATCATCATCATCATCATCCTTCACCAACACCACCGACAACAACATAGTCATATCATTAATATGGTTAATTCTATTTCATTTTATTTGGAAACCATGGCTTCATGTTGAGATCAATGAAGATATTGTTAAATCTTGTTTATTACATCCTGGACATCATCAAGGTCATCATCATAATAAACGACATAAATCAAATCATCATCATCATCATCATCAATATTCAGATAGGATGTCCATATCATCATCGTCAATTACCAATCATCGATATGGAAAAATTCATTCAGATTGAAATGAAAAAAAAATGGAAAAATGGAAAAACGACAAATAATGAAATGACGAAAAAATCAAATCAAAATCTTCTTAAATCGATATAAATAAATTTCATTCAAACTACTACTACTACTACTACTACTGCTACTGCTACTACTACTAGTCATTTATTCTATTCAATGAAATGAAACCATTTTTTGAAAAATATTTTTAACTTTATTCACAAATGATCGATTCTTTCACCATTTTTTTTTCATAGCCTTTCCTCTCTCACTTTCTCCATTTTCTATTTTTCATTTTCATTCTCATTTTTTTTGATTTGATGTAAACATGATAATGACAAGTATTATCAATAAATTTTTATATTCTTATTCTACACATATAATTGAGATAGAATAGAATTGAAATTCCAAAAAAAAAAAAAAAAATGAAATGAAATGAAATGAAATTTTGAAAACTATTCAAAAAAGATGGCGCCATTGGGATCATTGCTATTTTTAATTTTGTAAATCAATATAATTTGTATATGAACAAAAATGATACATTTCATGAGAATTTTTCCATTGTAACAAAGTGAATAACATAACGTTCAAATTCTTAAAAAAAACGGAAAATAAATGTCGATGAAAATGAATCGACATAACATTTGAATGTTTGGATAAAAAAAAGCCGAAACAAATTTATGATATTATCATTATTCATTGAGCTGCATACAGCAAAAAAAAAATTGAAAAAGTGAAAGAAAATGATTTCAACATGTCATAAAAATGTTTGAAAAAAATTGATTTTTTTCAATTTTTTTTTAATATTCTTACGATTCTTCGATTGTGTGCGTGGGTGTCTGTTGTTTCAAGTGTGTGGCCAAACAAAGCTATATTTTTCGTTTCTATTTTTTTTTGGCACTGCCATTCAATCGATCTACCAAACAAAATTAAAAAAAAAAAAAATTTCATTTCATTGATAAAATCGACCAAACCTCTAGTATTCTTGATTCATTTCATTTCAAGCGCTTTTCAGGCGAAAAAAAAAATTGATGACAACCATCACAACAGACTGACTATCGCAACACATTGTTTCCATGAATATTGTGTATACACAATTTCAATTTTCTCTTCTCATCATGTTTGTTTATTTATGTTTGTCATCTGAATGAGAGAGAGAAAAAAAACAGAAAAAAAACAAAAATTCATCGGAATCATTGAATGGCCAATGAATATCAGATTGTGTTTGATTTTTTTTTCTCTTCATTCCTTCATCATCATCATCATCATCATCATCATCATTAAATGGCATATTGGAATCCATCCGATCCTTTTTTTTCGAGTAAGAATAATTTGCTTTTTTTTATCATTTAAATCAAATTGAAGCCATATAGTCCGTAGTATGAGAGATCAAAATACGATCGCACGTGGATCAAACATTCACATATAATAAACAGCAAAAAAAAAAAATTATACAGAACACAGAATATAAAAAAAAAGACCGAAGAATAAAAAAAAATACAAAATAATTGGCAAGATATAGTAATTATAAAAATACGAATCATTACCATCATCATCATCATCGTAAGGATTATCCAGAAGCCAAATAAAAAAAAAACAAATTAAGAAAAAAAAGTACAAAATTATTTCTTCACATCATATGTACAATTAGGAATTTATTTGAAAGTGGAAAAGAATTTTTTTATTATTATTATTATTCAGCTCTTATTTCAAATGTTAGAATGAAAAGAGTAAGAATCCAAAAAGAGATTTCATCTTTGACATGATAAAGATAGATATTCTCTCTCTCTCTATCCCCATTACCAACACAATAACAATCACAATCATCATCGTCATCGTCATCATCATCATCTGATTCTTTGAAAAGATCAAAAAAAAAAAAAAAAAAATTGCCTGCAATCACAACAACAACAACAACAGCAACGACAACAACATGGATTGCTTAGTTGTGAAAGTGAAACAAAAATTTTTTTTTTTTTAGTAAAGTATTCATTCTTTCACATTCATTTATTGTAGAGCAAGGTTACACATATGCTTTTCTACCTTGAATGAATAAAGATATATTTTTATTTTTATGTAGTCGTTTGTCATCTTATGATGATGATGATGATGATGATTGTGTCACAAGATCAGAATAACAAAAAATTTTTTCACTCTATCACACACACACACACACACACACACACACAGACACAGACGAAGCAATTCAATGTATGTGTGATATAAATGAGAATATTTTGATGAACAGTGGAAAAAAAAATTTTTTCCCAATAATAACATTGTATTTAATTTGAATCAATAATGTTTTTTCCGTCAAATTTGGTAGAATCCATATTGGTATAACCTAGTTCTTCTTTTTTTTTTAGTGATTGTCATTTGTTATTAAGAAAAAAAAACTATGAAATTTAATTGTCAGATTCTTACATCAATCACTTATAATCGAAGCTATTTTTGTTGCTTGTTTTTTTGGGCGTCATCATATTGATTCAAATCAATATAATCATTACAAACAAAAATTTTTTTTTTTCTTCTTCTTCTTTCCAATATCCATCAAGGACTTATCGATTAAATTCAATTTTTCAATTCATTCACTCATAAACATAGACAGATAATCATCATCATCATCATTATCGTATTCGATCAACAAATGAGAAATGGTTAGAAATTGAAATGACAAAAAAAAATTCCAAAAAAAAGAATTTGATTTTCTATATGTGTACACTGTGTGTGTGTGTGTGTGTGTGTACTGTACTAATGATGATAATGATTGTATGAAAAATTGATTTCAAATTCATTCTTTTGTCGATTTAATTGCTTATTCTTGGCAGTTTTACTTTCGATTTTTTTTTCGCAGCCAATTATTTTCTGTCTATTTTTTCTCATTCATTGAATGAAATTTGTACATGAAAAAAAATTAACCGTATAAGAAGAGAAAGGGAGAGAGAGAGCGAGAGAAAAAATTGCACCGGAAAAAATTTTGTGGTACACGTTTCATTCAAGAATAATGATAATGATGATGTTCATCAAAACAATCGATTCAATTCATTCATCATCATTTCAATCAATATAGATTATTCTAGAATATTTTTTTTTTATTTCTTTCTTGTTTGTGTTTGTTTTTTTGTTAACACAAATTCTTGCATAACATTGTTGACAATGACACACACACACACACACAAATATTAAATCCATCTATCGATATCGATCTATGAATCAAAAATGATTATAAAAAAAAAATAATTTATTATTGACACAAATATTGAGAGAAAAAAAATTGGCAATAAAATCAAATATCATCATCATCATCATCTATCGAAAGTAATAGTAAAAAGGGAAATTTACTACTAAACTAATAAATTGCAAAATATTGCCAAAAAGCCATGTGATCAAAATTCTATACGTTTTTGTTTTTCTAACATTTCTAAGATTTTATTCCTTTATAGATGGGTATGTAGGTGAAGAAAACTAAACCCATTGATTATCCATTGATGAATGATTGGCATAGTAATTATCAATCGTTCAATAAATCCATTTATTATTAATCTGGCCAATTTTTTTTTTTTGTATTTTACTTCATACTTATTCCAAATATAAATTGTAAATAAGTGGTAAAAATAAAAAGAAAAGAAAAGTTAATGCAACAAATTGATGGAATTGAATTGTGTTGTATCTTGTATGGCAAACAAACGCAAACACATACACACACACACACACATAAAAAACGATGCAATTTATACGGCCATTTTGGTAAAGACCTTGATGTGTGTATGTGTGTGTGTTTTTTTTTCATTTCATTGAATTAATGATGATGTTGTTTTTTTGTTACTGTAGTCGTTGTTAGTATTTATAGTTTTTTTTTTTTTTTACTGTTTGGATTCTAAGTTCATTCATATCTGCAACAATCAAGATATTATTAAACATGGCAACTCAAAGAGAGAGAGAGAGAGAGAGAAAAATAGAAACAGAAAAAAGAATTTCAATCATAATTGTCGTCATCATCATCATCATTTAGATATATAATGAATAAATAATTGAATGAACAAAAACAAAATAAAATGAAAATTATTCCTTTAAAAGTTGATTTGAATTGAATTGAATTGAATAAAAAAAAAAAAATTTCCATCATCATTATTATCATTGAAACAAGAAAAAAAAACATACTATAATCCAATCTATAATCCATATCCTTTCATCAACTGATCAATCGATCGATCGATCGATCGAATGTTTATTTTGATTATCAACAGGTTTTTTCTTTTTCCCTCTCTCTCTCTCTCTCTCTCTCTCTCTCTCTCTCTCTCTCTCTCTCTCTCTCTCTCTCTCTCACTTTTTTCATTCTCGTGTTTAATGTTGTTCGATCTAGTCATTTGATTATTAGCTAATTTAATGACTTTTTTTTTGCTTTATTATTCTGTACATTTTATTTTGTATTCACTAGAATATACCAAATGTGTGTGTGTGTGTTTGTGTATATATGATTTTAATTAGGCTTTTTTTTTGATTTAAGTTTGCTTATTTTTGTAAATCCATTGGTTCATGGCCGCACAGCCAAAATTTAGTGAATGTATGTAAATGGATAAATGAACAAAAAAAAAGTTGTCGATTCTTTTAAAGAATCTTATTGATTGTTGAAATAAATAAAATGTACAATTTCAATTTGATTTTTACGTTTTTGATGATTTTGTTTATACAGTGCAAGTTATATATTCAAAGATATAAAGAGATAGATATATAATCAATAATTGAATTGGTTTCATTTTCTATTCACTTTATTGACAAATTGAAATGTGGATGAAAAAATTTTTCTCACTCAAAAGTTTATTTCAACAGATATTTCATTGGCTTCATTCATATTTTCATTATTGATTTGGCCAACAAATTCTATGATGATGAATAAACATTACCGAATATTGTAGAATTTAATGATACATGCGCAACTCATATGAATTCGATTACAAGGCCGTTACTGTGTCCATGGCCCTTATCCATAATGATGATGACGATGAGCTGGATATTA